AGGCCTATCCCAGGGAGGGGGCTGGGTTTGCCCTTTTAGACTCCCAGCATTAGCTACACCAAGAGCAAGAAGATTTCCTTAGTGATTATAGGATTATAGGCTCCCAACCCCAGACTTCACCACCCCACCCCATGCAGCACATTCTCTGCCCCGGCTCTGTGGAAACTGAAGCTCTTTGAGACTAAGGAGCAGAGAGGGCAGGTTAGACCCAGGGACGCCTGAGAAGCCAGCCATGGGGCAAGGCTGTGAGGGACCATCTCAAGCGATTTTGCAAGTCAGGAAATGTAAAACCCTTGACTTGCCTCCTTAGGAGCTCGCTAAACCTGTTTTCTCAGCTGTAAGATGAGGTTGCTGTGAGGATTACAGTTGATTTAGTTGGTCAATATATACTTGATAATATAATGTAAATATAACATTCATATAAGACTATGGGAATAATAGCTGTCAGTGTGGGTATGAGCTCATGTGTGAGAGGCAGGACTGGGTGCCAGTTAAGAACCTGATCTGGGATTGGTCTCTACTCACACCCCCATGGTGAAATGGAAACAGAAAACAGAGGCATTTGCAGGGGACTGAGGATGAGTGTACACATTTTAAAAAAAGTTCAGAGCAAGCTTACTTTAGAACACCTGGTACTTGCGTTTTATTTGTTTGTTCTTTCATCTTGGGGTCTCTCACAGTGGTAATTGTGGCGTTCATGAAGTCTGATCGTTCGACGAGGCGTGTGGCACTACGAGGGTGTGCTGGGGTTGACTGGCGCTCATGACAGCCTATTGTTTCATTTTTAGGAGTTTTGCTAGTCGGTTGTTAGAGATGGTCATTATTAAGAATTAAGTGACACAAACTTTCAATTAAATGAATCATGTTAAAAACCAGAGGTGCTAAATATTAAAAACTGCATTGTCTAGTTATTGTGCTACATTTCACTGTGTTCTTGAGGGGATTTGCATCTATTATATCTATAAATATTACATGATGGTCTGCTATTGTGAGTCTCTTCTAAGTCTACCTTTGGTGACATCAGGCTGCAAGTCTGAAATTAGCTGTGGGGGGATAGTCACACCCCTGAAATTGGCAATGCTGCAGATCAGGGCCTTTTTTTCCCCAGGACAACCAGTTTTTAAATATTTACTGGCAACCACAGGTGATAACCTCAGTCCTATGCCACTTTGCTTAACCCGCATTTCCTGCTTCCTTATGGAAACTGTTTCATTGCGTTTAACTGTTTTATTTTGCATATATCCCTGTATTTCCTAATTATATACTTTTACTGCCATGCCTAGAATTTTTTAAATCTTAGACATTGCGTATTGGCTTCCCGCAATGGAAGATGAGGATCTGGCCTCTTCCCATTTTATCTCTCTCATGCTACACACACACTTCCTCTACCTCTGTCCCCCTAGTATATTATAATACAGCTTTGTTTAAATACATATTCAGGATTTTAATTTTTACAAAGTGTAAATTGTGTACATAAATCATTATCATTATGATTTAAATTAGCTTTCTTATACAAATTTTTCCCTAGAATAATTAATTCTTTAATTTGCTTGATTTTTGTACAGAGATTTTCAAATTCTTCTTCATAGCAGTAGAATTTGTCTTTGAAACAACATTTTATGTGGAACCCTACTGTATGAATCAGGAAAATCAGATCTACCAGATTGAAAGGGGGTCTTTCTCTTCAGGATTGCCCCAGAGAGCCAAGCAGATTGCTCACTGCCCAACTGTAGGAATCACAATTCACTGAAGCAATGACTATCTCACTGGGAGTGCATCCATTTTGTACAGAGAGTTCTGCCTGGAAGTATATATTCCACCAAAATCACACTCTGCTTTAAAAAGAGTTATCTCCTTGGGCCTCCCAGGTGGTGCCGTGGGTTGAGCGCAGCGCTGTGAAGCTGCCCACAGCCTCTGCAGTGCGGGTTCGACCCCCAAGCCGGCCTGGGAGATACCCACATGGCATGGCAGACCTCTCCTGTCTCACCCACTGCTTCCCTCAGTAGTGTTTCGGTTGTGGGTGATGCACTGGAGAGACAGGTTAAGCCTGTTCTGCTCCCCTCTCTGTCTCTGGTGAATCCTCTTACCCTCCCATGCCTCTGGCCTATACCCCAGTGCTTATAAAAATAAATAAATCTTTTAAAGAGAATAAAAACAGTTATTTACTTCCCAGTTCAGAGCTCTGTCCTCTTCCCATTCTGAATCGGTTCCAGTGATGTGGCTTAACCTGTCCCTCCAGTGCATCACCCACAGGCTGCTGGCCAGAAGCTGTTGTTAGCTGATGGCCACCTATTGACTGAGTGGTGCCCCTCAGATCTACCTGGGCTGGAGTGGGTGCCAACAGCTTAATGCAGAGAGCTTTGATCAGGGTCACTCAAGTGCAGGCTCTGAGAGCAGATGTAGGAAGCAACTCTGTCGTAGAGTAAGTGAGCCAGCGTGCCCACAGAAATCAGAGCTGGAGAAGGGGAGCTGACCAACAGCGAGAAGTGGAGTCCCCAAAAGCTCAGCTTCTGGGTTCATCGCTGTGTGCGGATCCCAGCCTGCTTTCAGCTGGATAACCTTGGGCATATTACTTAACCTTTCTGGGCTTTCATTTCCTGATACCTATGTCACAGGTATGTGTAACCCTCGTAGATGCCAGATCACACGCGACTCAGTCTCTGCTTAGTCTCATTGAAAGCAGCATTGCCCAACAACACAAAACTACCTGCATCCCTCATAAAAGCCAAGCCATGCCCAACTGACAGCAACACTCTCCAATTCCTGCCCGCCTATTCTCCAGTTTTCCCATAGTGTATAGTGGTGGCGACGGCTTCCTGAGCACAACTTCTGGGGCTTTCTCCTGCTCATTCTCTGCCTCATTCCTCACTGCCATTTTCTTTCAGGTCATCTGCTCTCCACCCATTCCACCATCACTGTGTCCCAGCACAAAGAATCTAGAAAATGAGCTGATGGCGATGCAAGCAGGAAGGGAAGGGAAGTGGTTGCAGGGGGACACGCACTCTGAAGTGACTCTTGCCCCATCACTCTGCTGAAGTATAGGCACGTTAGCAGGGGCTTGGCAGAAATGGGTTCTCTTCCTCATTATTCAGTTGAGGAACTAAAGGGGGTGAGGTATGTATGGCCTGCCTCAAGTGCCTCGACAACTTAACCACTACTAGCAGAAGGAAAGTGACTGGAAAATCCCTCCCTATTTCCTCCAAACTCCCAAAAATGCTAGTTTTAAAATGACCTGAGGTTGGAGATATAGCTTCTGTCTACAATCTCCCCTCCCTTCTCTGATGCTTTCATGGCCACTAGCATAGGCTGACCTCTCTCCTCGCTCCCACATACCCTTTCCCATCTCCTCACAGGATGTCTTTCAGTACTACTTACTGTGTGCCAGCCTGGTAAGGAGCCAGAGCCTCAGAGACAAGGAAGACACAGACCCCGTCCTCAGTTGCTCACAGATAAATAGAAACACTGCAATTGCCTGTGATGGTCACTCTAACAGAGGAAAGCACAGAATGCTGTGAGCACACAGAGGAGCAGCTCTTCCTTCACTAAGTGATCAGGGAAGCCTTCCTGGAGGAGGTATTAGCAAACCTATATAACAATATTACTATCATATATTGACAAATCACTATAATGATAATTTCCACCTGGGCACATTGTTAAGCCCATTTGCTCATTCAGTCTTGACAACAACCCTAAGAGGTAGGTGTTATCCTCATTTCAGAAATGAGGAAACTGAGACTCAGAGAAGTTTATCAACTTACCCAAACCACACAGCTAAATGGTGGTGGCAGAACTGTGATTCAAATTCCAGCCTGTGTGGATAGTACTTCTAACCATGGGGCACTGTGTGCAGGTGTTGAAGTTAAACACTGCACAGACATGCCACATCTAGGGGCAACTCTGTACACTTCTTAGGCAGAATAATTTATATGATGGTGCTTAGGCGGACCTGGAGACTCGGGCCTCTCGGGTCAGGAAAGAGCCTTTTCCTGATCCAAAGCTCACTGTGACACCTCCCCGCGGTGGTGGGGAGACGGGCCCTGGGAAAGCACGTGCACCCTGGTATCTGGATCTTTGTGCTCCCAGGCGGCTGCCACCGGCTTTGGCTCCTCAAGTGGACAGTACTATCTTAGCTTTAAGTCTTTTTTCTTGATGCAGGGATATCTTTTCTTAATTGTTTTTGAAGATTTATTTATTTATGCTTACGAGAACTGGGGTACAGGCCATAGGTATGGGGGGGTGAGAGGATTCACCAGAGACAGAGTGGGGAGCAGAACAGGCAGACTGACTGAAATATACTGCTGAGTGGTGCAGCGGGCGAGATAGGAGAGGTCTGCTCTGCCATGTGGGTCACCTCCTTGGCCGGGGATTGAACTCGTGCTGCAGTGGCTGCAGATAGCTTCGTAGTGCTGTGACTTAACCCCTTGCACCACCAGGGAGGCCCCCATTTCTTAATTTTTTAAAAAGATTTATTTATTTATGCATACAAGAGCTGAGGTATAGGCCAAAGGCATTGGGAGTGAGAGGACTCACCAGAGACAGAGCGGGGAACAGAAAAGGCAGATTGACGAAACACACTGCTGAGGGGAGCAGCAGGTGAGTCAGGAGAGGTCTGCTGCACTATGTGGGTAGCTCCCTGGTTGGCTGGAAATCGAACTCATGCTGCAGTGGCTGCGGATTACTTCATAGGTTGCGTCTTAACCCCTGCACTACCAGGAGGCCCTCTTTTCTTAATTTAAACAAAAGTGTGCACCATCAGCAACACATCACCCTCCCCAACTTTACTGGCTACCCCTCCCCCACCATTCAGTGTTGGAGAGGATGCAGCCGGAGAGCATTTTGATCCAGTCTGATGCAGAGACCCAAATACAAGGCTTTGTGGGTCCTCAAGGGCCTCTCCGTCCAGATTAGAGGCCCAGAATACAAGCTTTCCGTGCAGGGCTCCCCTGGGAACTTTGAGCTCACCCCTTCTCTTTCTCTTGCCCTTTCTTCCTCCTCGGCAGACTGGCAGGATTGAGCCCAACTACCCCAAGGTCTGCGGTCATCAGGGCAACGTCCTGGACATCAAGTGGAACCCCTTCATCGATAACATCATTGCCTCGTGTTCGGAGGACACGTCGGTGAGCAGCAGGGGGGCTTCCTAGGAGAGTGCTTCCTCCTGGAGGCCCCCCTTCTTAACTCTTCTCTTCTGTTCTTGGTGTTTCTTTTCTCCTCTCTGTCACCCTTCCAGCTAGTCCAGGATTGGTGGCCGGGGGAGTTAGGAAAAAGACTGAGGGAGCAAATCCATGGAATATTTGGCAACCCTTGTGCCTTTAGTGTGATTTAGTTTGGAGGTGTTAATTTTGTAGGTGAGAATTAGAACCAAAAAATTATGTGATTCAGCACTTGTCTGTGGTCTCCTTCTCAAAAAGAGAAGGGCAGAAGGGGAAAATATGAAAGGGGGGACAAGGAAGGAAATTGGGGTGCATGTGAAGAGCTGTTCTTGCAGACCAGGCACAGGTGCCTTCTGGCTTTGTCCTCTGTGAGCCGTGGTTCTAGGAAAGAACCTGGCCTGAGAAGTGTCATGATTTGTCCAAGGATCCGCAGTGGTGGCCCTGAATTTGAACTTCACGTGTTCCACCACTTCATGGGAACAGATAAGAAATAAGAGAAAGGAAATGAGAGGAAACAGGGAGGCGATGGAGGGCAGAGGAAGAGAGGAGGTAAAGGAGCTGGAGATGGAAGGAAGAAAGGGGGCAGAGATAAAGAATCCAGGGAGAGTAAAATGGGAAGTTGCCTGGCCAGCCTTTCCTCAGGCTTTGCGGATTTTCATAGGTAGAGGGAGAGTCCGGGGTCAGTGGCTTCCATGTTTCTGGGGGTCCCATGCCTTTCCTCACGCTGCCCCTAAACAAGAGCGGCACACCCACTTAGAAGCAAGAGGGGATTTCAGAGCCTCAGCAGAGCTGGTGAGGAGGAGCTGCTCCAGCCCCCGGTGTTCCCAGGTGGGGGAAGATGAGCCTTCCACTAAGACCACAAGCAGCTCCCAGTGCTCACCAATAGCCTGGTTACAGTTTGGAGATTCCCAGGATACTGGAACCAAAAGGAGCTTTGGAGCTCATAGCTCCTGTTTTCCTAAGTGGACAGTGCACTTCTGAGAGCAAAGGCTGTGACCTAATAGATTCTAAAACCCAAGCATCCAGTATAAAGCTTAGTACTCTAACTGCTTGGATGGATGAATGGACAGATGGATAGACAGAAGGATGGATGGATGGATGGATGGATGGATGGATGGATGGATGGATGGATGACTAGATGGGTGGGTGGATACATCAGTGCATTATTATACTGATGATGGTTATACTGATGGGTGGATAGAGATGACTAGATGAATGGGTAATGGATAGATGGATGAATAAACGGAAGGATGACTAGAAGGCAAATGGATGGAGTGAATGAGTGAATGTAACCCAACTAACCAGGTTATCCAAAGAAAGATATTCACAGTCTCCTCTAATAAAATTGGGGGTGGAGGGAGATCAGCTGGCACAGTTCCTTGTCAATGAAAGGTGGGTGGTGGGGTTGGAGAGTAGTGTGGGCTTGACCAACACCTTATTGGTTCTAAGGTCAGAACCCTAAGTCAACACAAGAGTATCCCCGAGTATAGTGGCAGTAAGAGCAGGGGCCTTGTGAGCAGAGAGCAGGAACTTTGCGTAAACATGGTTCATTGAGCTTAGATACTTTCTTCAGTAAGTGGGGACAGTGACCAGGGGTTGGGGTACAAGCAGGCCAGAGGATGGAGTCCAGGCCAGAGGAGGAAACTTGGGGGAAATAGGTTGCTTCCTGGGCTGGGAAGGAAGGAACTGGAAGTGGGGGTGGGAAGAGGCACCGGAGAGCTCAGTGGTCAGTAAGGACAAATACTGGGTTCAGTGGGAAGGAGGGCAGGTGGAGGTGCTGCTCAGTCTTCTCTTCTGGATGCAGGACCCTAGGAGGGAGGACCAACAGCCACAACCAGGTGCTGAGCTACGTCATCAGCCCTCAGAGAGCAAACACCTCAAGCTAGGAGCTGCCTCATACAGTGCTCCTGCACCTACTCTGGGTTGAAACATAGCCCTCACAGCCACCCTTGAGACAGGCGCTGGCACCCCCACATCGAGGGTTAGGGGCAGGCCATGCAACTAGGAAGCAGAAGTGGGCTTTTGACTCTGAAGTCCAAACTCTTCCTGCTCTCTGAAGTCTCCTGACAGGAATTCACAATGTGCTGGAAGTCTCAGGCCCTTCCTCAGGCCCTTCGTGTCTCGCCAGGGGAGCCAGCTGGAAGAGATGAGCAGTGGCCACCTTCACCGGGAGAGGGCCAGATTAGAGCTGTCCTGGGGAGAGATCTGTCTGCCTGCACCAGGTGTGGGTGTGAGGGGGTTGGTGTCTCTGATGACCCTGCCGGTTAAGCACGTTTTTTCACCTGCGGTGTCTCACGCTGCAGGACCCCACTGAGAAATAGCTCGCCCATGCTGTGTGTTCAGGGACAGCATCAGGCCCGGCCCCAGCCACGCCACCAAGTGGCTCTCTGCAGTTTCCCACACACTGATTGAAGGTCCACTGTGTGCCCACCATGCTCCTGGAGGCTTCAAAGCAAGCTCAGCTGTAGAAACCTGGTAGACCTGGCTTCACCCTTTACCAGCTGGGTGACCAAGGGTATGTTACTCCCCCTCTGAGCCTCACTTTTGCTTCTCAGTGTAGAGCAGTAATGGTAGGTCCCTTTGGCAGTTGCTATGGGAAGAAAGGAGGTCTGTGCCTGGCACTGTCTCTGTCCTGTTCTAGAAGCACCAGCAGCAGAGGGGCGGATCCCTTCCACTCGCTGAAATGTCACGCAAACCAAAATCACTGTAGCCTCCAAAGTTAGACAGGGTCATGTGCACAAGGAGGAGAGAAGGGTTCATTTTGACAGCAGTGCAGGAAGGAGAGAGGGGGTTAGAGAGACCTGGAACTTAGAGGGACAGGATTTTGATGATATAGAAAAGGGTGAAGGAGGCCCAGGAAGAGGCAGAGCAGCAGCCAGGGCATGGGGGTGGGTGGGGAGGATATTAGTGTGCGCAGGCTGCTATAACTAAGTACCAGTTTGGTGGTTTATAAACAATAGATATTTATTGCTCGCAGTTCTGGAGCCTGCAAGTCTGAGATCAGGGTATCAGTATGGTGGGGTGAGGACCCTGTGTGCTTACATAACGGAAGGGGCTAGGGGTCTCTCTGGAGCTTTTTATGAGGGCACTAATCCAATTCATGAGGGTCCCACCCTCAGGACTCCCATCTCCTACTCCCTTTGGGGGAACACAAACATTCAAACAATAGCAGAATGCATGTGGTGTGCTTGGAAATGAGTCATCTCATGCAACAGGAGCCGTAGGGAAGCGACATGGGAGGAGAGTGGGCAGAAGAGGAGGCTGCGAAGGGAGGTGCAGCCAGAGACAGAAGGACAGGGTGAGCACCCCAACTTTGAATAAGAACCTGTGCCTCTCAAGCCCTCAGTGTAAACCAGGGCATTTCTTGCACATGCATGTGCATGTGTGTATGTGTGTGTGTATGTGTATGATCAAGGAGGGGGAGCCAGGGAGTCAGAGGGTCATAGCCAGCCCCATGGAAGAGGTATGCCCCAAGTTAACTGGTCAAGTCCTGGCATGTGACTCTGGAGAGAAGGGGAGGGGTGTGGCTGCTGGGGGTGAGGGGAGATGAAGAGAAAGGTCACTGGCTTGGGGCCCAGGGAGGGAGGGGCAGACCCAGGGCAGCTGATCCAGAGAGGAGATTAAGTCTCTGGAACACAGAGGAATAAGCTCTTGCTCCTGCTGCCAGTCCAGCTGCTCCAGGAACAGCAGCTCAGAGCTCTACTTTGCCCTCAGGTCTCCTGCCTCCCCAGCCTTGGGGCCTAGGGCCCTAGCAGTGCAGTTCACAGGCCCTGATGTTGGAGCCAGTCCCTCCTGGAAACAGGCTCCCTGCGGTGGAGGGAAGCACAGTGCCAAGGTTACACAGAGCCTGTCTCAGGCAGGGCTGGAAGCCAGGTCTTTTGGCTCCCAGCCAGCATTCTGAGCCCCTCAAACCAACCCTTGCTGTACAGGTGAGGTGACTGAGGCTCGCATTGTGAAAGTTGACTATTCAGACTCATCGAACACTCAGTGTTTATATCTCTGTCTTCTCTGTGCAAAGCCCACCATGCACCGAGGGTACACAGAGGGTCGCATCTTCCAGCAGGCCTTGGGCGGGTGGGAGGACAGGTATGGTGGTGGAGCTTGCGGCACCCAGGGTGAGGTGAGGAATCTGCCGTACCCACACCGTCAGGCCTGATCTGACTGGCCGCCCTGCCTCCATCAAAGTGTCTTGAGGTGCAGGCCTCAGAAACACCAAAGCCACTGCATTTTTGAGTCAAAATGGTCAACTCACTGCACACCAGACACGACTTCCAGAACCAGGATTAGGTCGGTCAGCAAACCTCCTATGTACTGGGCACTGCACTTGGTTGCTGGGGAGGGAACCAGCCTCAAGAGGCCCAGAGAAAAACTGTCTGGAGTGGTTTTTGGCTTGTCTCCTGGCAGCGCGTGGTCCCCACCCCTACTCCCCCACACCCTTTACTTGTCCCTCAGAATATTCAGAGGACACTAAAAGCCCCTAATTAGCCTCTCACCCCCAGGTCCTTTCTCATATCCCCCAGCCCTGAAAACCTCAGGGTGTCTTCCATTCCCCTTGTCCCTCAGGATAGCCTCCACTCCCCTCAGAGCGTGAGGAGGGCCCCATCTCTCCAGGGACCCAGTAGAACACACCCAAGCCCTTTCCCAAGGGGTTCCCTTCCTCAGGGAGGGTGTGGGGGGATGTAACTCTCCCTGGCATCTAGCAGAATCCAGTTCTTTCTGCCGCTGGGTGATGTCACCTATTGTTGAAGGGCTGTGCTTTTTATAGCTTCTGCGGCAGCTAGGGAGGGCTGCTGGCAGGCGGCAGGGAAGGGTGCTATGGGTTTCCAAGCCTCGTGCTCCCAGCCATGCTGTGGGGCCAGCCGCCACAGAGGGAGAGGTTTCTGACATCTCAAGGAGAAGGAGACAGAGCTCCTGGGAGGGAGAGGGGACAGACCCCCTCTCCAGGGTGGTCTGGGCTCAGCAGCTTT